ATATCTCAACAGGTAAATTGATGCTACTCAAATAATAAAAGTAAAAGTGTTAAACAATATTTAAAAGATAGACTTGCCTCCACGTGGTGGACCCTGGGCAACGTATTCTCATACGGCAAAAAGTCTATAAACCGGCAGTTGACTTCTGACTTCAAACTACCATCACTACACTGTATGTCATACTCGATCACTTCCACAGTACTCACCTCACCTTTCTTCTACCTTCGCCTTTGAAACACTCTTCTGTTCCCCCTCCCCTCCCTCAACTTTTTTCACTTTGATGTTCCTTCATCTGTGTGAAGCCTGAAGTCAACTAAAGGGCTAATGATAACTATCAAACCGCCTGCCATTTGATATAAATAAATATTTAAAAGGTCAATTAGAAGCTCATAACAGTTTCAAGTAAGCTTTCTGAGAAAAGATATAACAACTTTTCTTCCCAATTATTCTCCCTCACCAAATACTGTCGATAGAGGACTGTGCATGATCTCATCTATTTACCTCAATTCTCTGACTAGTCTAAATTACAGTTAACAAAACCCCAGACATAAATTTTGATCAATTTCTTATAAAGGAAAATAGTAGTGCAATATAAAGCTTTTTAACTCTGCCTTGGTCCCAGGTGGCAACGGAAGCTGCTCTTCAAACGAAGATTCGTATAACAACGGGTAGTATTTTTAAAACATGGAACACCAAATGGCCTAACTAGGACATAATGGCATTTCTAGGAACTAGTGCATTACCCAATAGTTATATGTGGCAAAAAATCAATAGATGAACGAAACATAATATTCGACTTCCTGAGGCATTAAAAGACGCAAGCCATCATATGCCACATCAAATTGAGGAATAGATATGCTAGCTTTCCCAACAGGAAATCCACCTTCTGTCGAAGCTTAAATAACATCAAGGTTCTAAGTGGCAAAACGAAGGATGCTCAAAACATGTAAAACGCATGGAAAGTGTAACTCGAGCCAATCACATGAAGATATCACAATGTACAGCTGCTCAAGTCCATTAGTAATAGATAATAAGGTTGGTTAACCATATCACGACATTAATCTATAGTAATTCGACCCATCTAAACAAACCACGTAAGCCAATCTGACAGGAGACCCACCACCACCTCTGAACCAAAAAAGTTGGGTTTGATACACACTAAGCAACCCATTGGGAGTAAGCTCATGTTGTTTATTGAAGCAGAAACTTCAGCCATTAATATATCAGTAGTGTGAGAATATCGCCAGATCTATGTGCACATTGTTCACCCGTCGCCTTAGAAATTTTGCAAGCATTTTTGACTACTCATCCTCAAATATAAGCAACCTTGAAACAACAAAAGTACCTTCCGTATTTGGGTACATTCAACACAGTCCAGATGTCTCGTGTACACACGTCACAGCATCAAAGAACCAACCGTATAAACATTCGAGCCTCAAAGCTCTGCAACACCTCAAGGCTATAACCGAAAAACCACCGTTCGGCACAAAACAGAATCCTCTATCAACACCAAGCAGTATTCGAATTAATCCTTATGAAATGCATAAACCGAAGACTCAAATCCTCTATGCAAGTGAAAGAAAGAAATACAAACAAAAGTGCGCCTGGTAGAATCTGCCCGTTCTGTAGCACTCAAGATAAAAGAAACAGAGTACAATCTTATCAGGTATAGCTAAATAGAATAACGCGGAGACAGTGAAATAAGCTAGAGCACCGCAAGTTTAATTCAGAATAAAAATAAATAACAACCCACGTTCTACTAAAGAAGCAATTATCCATAAAGCATTCTTGTAATACGTCAATATATGCAAATTCCGGTGTAATACATGAATGCAAGAGAGAAACGTCTTTATCGGTTGGATTTAGCGACACGCTCCAACTCATCCTTCTTTTTAATGGCATAGGAGTTTGAGCTGCCCTTTGAAGCATTAATAAGCTCATCTGCTAGGCACTCAGCAATGGTTCTGTTGCTGCGGAATGCGGCTTCACGAGCACCAGTGCAAAGAAGTTGGATGGCCTGATTTACTCGACGAAGAGGGGAGACGTCGACGGCTTGACGACGAACAGTGCCACCACGACCGATACGAGTAGAATCTTCACGAGCACCACTATTTACAATTGCGTTGACGAGAACTTGAAGAGGATTCTAAAAGAACACAGCTTTAATACGATGACTTAGAATATTAAGTAGTTATGACAAATGGAGTACTGTACCTCATTAGTGAGAATGTAAATAATCTCGAATGTGTGTTTAATGATATTCATAGTCTTGATTTTTTTGCCATTGTTGCGACCATGCATCATAAGCGAATTACACACACGTTCGACAATAGGGCAAAGAGATTTCCGGAAACGCTTGACCTGATAACGCCCGGCCGTGTGTGGGAGCAATGGGTGGGTGGATTTTATGGTGATGTGATCAACCAAACCCAATTCGTTGACAGTGACATTGTCAGACTCCCACTTACCAAAGAGAATTAACTTACTCTGCGACATCTAAAGACAGAAATTCCATACGTTACGGAAATTAACTACAAATACTAAATATACGAAGGCAATCTGGAAGGCCAAAGATCACTCACGCTGACAAGATAGAAAAGCCTTGGAAGTGCGCTAACAGGAGGACAGAAATTTAAAACACTTTATGAATTATTTCGGGAGCAGTAAAATATGCAGTATATAATTTCTTTATATTTTTTTAAATTTTTGCATTATTTCAATAATAGTAATCTATATGTATTTGTTTATCGTGTTTGATTAAACTTATCATAAATAATATCTTTACAAAGTTTACACGATATAATTTAGAAAAAAATTTAGCAATTTTTTTATTTTAGATTTTCACTCACTCTGAAAAGTTTTGATTAACTTTTATCATAGTTATGTATTATTATTATATAAACATGGGCATTTTATTCTCAAATTTTCTTTACTTACCTTATTTCAATAATTAATGTCAACAAAAATATTATCGAATTATTTATAAAGCCGAGATAAATATACTTGTTGATTTTCGGTTATTTCTGTTCCATTTTTAAATGGAGAAATTTATTGTCGATTATTTTAAATTATGTTGCTGATTTAAATCCACGAAGCCAGTAATCTGTCAAAGTTATGAGATTTATTCACTGAGTAAATGTTTGGAAAGTGATAAAACGCTTGATTTCTTGTATTTAATGTGTTTACTTAATCAATAAATAAATTAACCTCTTTCAGCGCTTAGTTCCAAGCACCATGGAACATTTTCAAAATGCCCAAAATTTATCAGAATAATCAGTGTTTTACAAAATGTTGGTACATTTTGTAATAGAACTGGGCATTTTTTTCTATGTTAAATTGCTTCTATTTAAAATTCAAACATTCAGAAAAAGATAAGTTTATGTGATTTAATTAAATATGAATCATGATTTAATATCTTTAATTATTAATTTAATTTAAATTATTGATTTAATTTAAATCATTGGTTTAATTAATTCTTGTCAGATATAATTGTCTTGGAAATTTACTCTGTTTAATATAAGAATGTCGAACATATTCAGTGACTTTTATATTTCGTTTTATAGGGTACGAACTAACATGTCTTACGCATTTATTATCTTGCTTGTACCCGTAATCAGTGTACAAAAACAGAGTTTCTACTTTTACATCGAATGCACTGCGCAAATAACAAGTTAAGCAACGTGAAAAAAGATGTACTTGTGGTCGACGAAATTAATTAATGTTACTTGTTCTTTTATATTTTTCACTGATTTAACTTTATTTTGTCACAGCTTGCCTCTTTTAAGTCATCATTTTTCACTAGGCGTTTGCCACTCAAGTTTATGGTATTTAAATTATAATATTCTCGACCAGATAAGTATGAATAATAGACCTTTGACAAATGGCAAAATTAAAAGGATTACTTCTACATAAATAGGCTGTTCAGGCAAAGTCTTCAATGTTAATCAGTGTTTCTTAATCCGATTTCAAATTAAAGCGTTGCAACTTAATTGAGCGCAGTAAATAACTAATAATATTTATCGAAAAATCGGTGAAGGAAGGGGTCTCTAGTGTTTCCAAAGTAGTTTGTTCCGCTTTAAATTGTGTTACCATTTTGAAGTTGTAAATGAGGTAATCACATAAGTAATCCAAGAGATCGTTTTCGTTATTCTTAAGAATAAATCACTTTGTTTCACTAACCTGGAAGAAGAACGAAAATTAATACTAACATTCATGCATTTATAAAGATATCTCTGATTAAGACAAGTCTGCCCGCTAAGATGAAAGAGTCTTAATGAATTTGTCTAAATTAGTTCCATTGATTTAGAAAGGCTCAGAAAAAGTATTCACATTCGAACTATAGTAAGTTTTAAGACTAATAATGTTATAGAAGCCATTTTTTAATACGACCCTAAACGTGAAAATAGTGGGTAACTAATGAATATAAAATCGTGCTAAAATATTTCAAAATATAATTTTAATCTGTCGAAACGCATTGTATGGTCACACTTAAAATCCACACATGAAGTGAAATCAGATTTTAGATAATTATGAAAAATAAAAATATGGACAAGGCTCATTGAAAATTATAAGTCCATGTAAAGTGACCTAAAATCTTCAGAAGATAAAATTACGTGAAAATAAAGTTAGATTAAGTCTATTATTCATTATTTAAAAGGCTTTTAACAGTCTATACGGAAAATTAGCACAGTAAATCAAACTCAGTGTATTTGAATTAATAAAAGTGTAAATTCTGAAAATACAATGATGAAGGAATTAACCTAGAAAAGTTAATATTTGTTTTTCTCATTCCAATACTCCTAAAAGTAAATATTGCCTGTTTCAAATGTACCCGAGTACTTAACGTTTCGAATTTTTTAACCACCATGACTGTTATATTAAGCAAGTTTAAATGTTATAAAATGTCAATTTTTAGATGCACTTAAGAAAGCGAAAAAAAATATTCGAAGAGTATTCTCTGATCCTGACACTAACGATGATGCAAATGAGCTACACAAATTATTATCTAATAATATATTAAAATCACTTCTAATGGTGAGTTTTTATCACTAATTTCATTTTTTACTTGTTAGTTATAATATCTGAATTTATGTTTAATACTAGGTATATTCTAACGTCGTCTCAACGGGTACACACTATGTCAATGAGGACGATTGTACAGCTTTGGGTCTAATGAGCAGTTTATGTGAAGACCTTCAAAAATCCATGACAGATGCTTATTTTCCTATGCCAGAAGCGGCAGAGGAGTTATTTCATATTCTCTCAACCCCCAACATGCGTGCTATTGTATCTTGCATTGCAGAGATCGCTTCCGGGAACTTTTTCACCCCAAGCCTCCCTTCCACCGGGATCTACGTTATTGAAGGCACAATGAATAATTTACACCAATCCATCCATAATGGTTCCCTTCATGGAGGTTATTCACTCAATCGGACAGAACTTGTCAATTTTGGACCTGTGAAATACAAGTCGGCTAGTATGGTTAATACTATAAAGGAGGATGTGGCCAAATCTTCGATTAGCTTGAACAGTGCTCCAGAAGGAGTTAAATTAACAGGAGGTGGTGAAGGTCTTCCAAAGAAACCGGTGGATGATAATGAACTCATGCTGATCAGCTTTAAACGAAGTATTGGTGAAGATCTTGTAAGTTCAATCACACATTTGTGAATGAGCTATTTATAATATTTTCTTTTCCACATATTTAAATTCTTGTCAGTGTTTGATAATTTTGAATGAATGAAAGCTTCTAAATAAAAATTATTTTTTTTTCTAGAGTGATTTATTTTCCTAAAATGTAAATCAAGGGCTTAGCCGTACCTTTTCACAAGGATAGTTGTTTTCTTAAAGGCCATTGGGGTACTGAGGAGTTGGTTTAGACTACAGTATATGCAATAAATTTCGGGGAATGAGATAGAGATAGGCATTGAAAAGAGCGCTGCACAAGTGGAGGTAGAGTTGTGGTCAATAGGTCAAATTTTGGCGGTTCGAACAATTTTGCTTACTTTGTCCTTTGTTAATTAATGCAAAAAATAATGGTTTTCATGGCTTGCTGTTACAAATGCGAGTTACTCGTTTTGCGCATTAGATCAGAATTTTAGGTGGTTGGGTTCTTCTTGTCAGCATATTTTAATGCTACAGACGATTACCTGATCGTCTTCTCAGCTATCTTAACTAACTAATCGATTAAATAAATGTTCATTCAAAATGTTTCCTGTGTAATAAAAAAAACAATCTAGAACTTTCTGTCAAGAAATCCTAGTTATAATAAGATTAATTATTGCTGTTATTTAAATACATTGTGGTGTGACAGCAATGAACAGCATTGTTATTCCAATGCCGATCGATATTTTTGAGTGATATCACATATCTAGTATTTACTATTTATACTGATCTAGTCACAAATTTGAGGAAATTCTGTTCCTTGGATGATGAGCGACAATATTAGCACAAAGCATCCGCAATTATCACTCACCTATATGAGTTGATTACAACTAAATTTAGCACATCGTAAACAGGTAACTGAAACCATGCAATAAAAAGTTTATTAAAGTGTTGGGGGGTGGGGGAGGTTGGAGTCAAAAACCTCGTGAATAAAAACCGTGTACCGAAGGCACATTGATTTTTTAATTGTCTAATTCGATTGTAAATTATTTCCTTAGTGGGTATTTCGTGATACGGAATACAAATTTGTGAGCACTTTCCTGCCAACTATCCTCACTGCTTATTAAACGAGTGACAAAGTAGGTGATTTGGTCCCATCAATTTCAATCCGATGATCTTGAATACATGGTTCTGAGCGCGACAAAGCTGACTAGACTTAAGACTCATCTTTGAATTTTCCAATTGTAATTGGTATGTACTTTAACAACAACAGCAACAATTAAAATCGATTGTAAACAAGACAGTTCTAATCCAATCCATTGTTTTGGTCCCTGCCACAATACTCCATCTGCCTATCAGAGATTAGTTGATTCAGGCTTAGAAAAATAGAAGATAGAAGCACTATCACTTACACGACTTTTTCGACCTTTTAATTGCTTATGACTATAAATAATGCATGGACTAATGTAGAATTAGGGGGGGGGGGGGGGGGGTGGGCTTGTCTAGTCTATCTGTCGACTTCTAATTAAGCCTCTGTGAAACTCTCCAGGATGGGAATGGCCCGTTTCACAACACTGCTTATGCTCAACAGTCAGGTTAAGCCGCTTTCTAGAAGATTATAATAATAGCAACCCTTTTAACACATTTACGTGTATTGATTTTTACCTCCATATAGGGCATAACAATAGGCATTCAAGAGAACTCAGTAAGTCGAGGCTACGCCCGCGATATTTACGTGAAACGGGTAATGGTTGGGTCTCAAGTTGAGCGTCTTGGACTCCTAGGAGAGGGAGATATCATCAGGGAGGTCAACGGTATTCCCATAGATTCTCCTGAAACACTCCAGGAGCAGATGCTCAAATCTCCAGATACAGTCACTATGAAAATTATTCCTGCTCATAAAGATCCCAAGGTCAAATCACAGGTGGGTTAAGCTTGCACAGGCAAGGATCAGATATAGCCAGTAAAAGTGGTGAGTTGTGTTCTCTCTTTGCAATTTTAGCTCTATGTGAGAGCTCTATTCACGTACGAACCGGAAAAGGACAAACTACTACCCTGCAAGGAAGCTGGTCTCCGATTTCAATGCTATGATATATTACAAGTATTGAATCAATCGGATCCAAATTGGTGGCAGGTGAGACAGTTCAAATAAACAAAAATCCATTTTAAGCTAAGAACCTCAATAAAACTACAAACCTCAGGTAGAAATGTGTTTTCTAATAGAGGTGTTAATTCATAGAGTCACCTTGACTAAAGTGAAATGCTGTCATCTTACGTGCTCTATTTACTCACTCTCATTCATTGTTTCAGAACTCGTAAGATTGAATTTTCCACTAAATTATATGTAATTCTACATCATCATCTCACAATAATCACAATAATAATAATCGTGTTATTTTATGCCAACTGATACATTTATATTTTGGTTCTGTACTTTTAGGGGATAATAAACTCTTGATGAAAATAAAAAGTTGAATAAACCTAAAGCCCCAAGAAAAGGCGTCTTTTCAACAAAGATAAAGGACGATTTGAATTTAATCATTTAACTGTCAACCTGTTTGATGAGATCGACACTCCATTTTAGGAGGGGGTGGGGGGTGGGGGGGGGGAGCTTGTAAAGTTGATCTTGGAGACTTCGGCATCTATTTGGAGTACGCAATTTTAAAATGATCCAGCATCTCCCACACACTCGAACATCTGGTTTTTTTTGCATAGTTTTTCGTATTCTTTAACATTTAAGCATTTGTAAATGTTTATGGAAAGTCAATTTTCACAATTCTGCCCACTGCAGGAGATTTGGGATAAATTAGAGCTTATTGCAGAAAATTGTGTGACCAAATCAAGATAGAATGAAAGGGCAATTAAGGATTATAATGACATAAGAGGTAGAAAAACTGGCCAATAAATAGTAAAGGGTGTAAGAAGTGGAGAGAAGCAGTCACCTTGCAAGTTGTGTATATCTGGAGTTCAGGTTTTTTATTTACTCAGCGCTCATAACTGGGCTGTGTACTGGCATATTATTATTATACCAAAAGGCAAGCGTTTTGAATAGTTATCATTAGCCATTTAGCTGGCTTCGGGCTTCGCAGAGAAAGCCATTTAGCTGGCTTCGGGCTTCGCAGAGAAAGGAACATCAAAGTGAGAAAAATTCGAGAGGGGGAACAGAAGAGTGATTTAAAGTTGTAGAAGAGACATACAGACACAAAGGTAGAGAAAGGGTGAGATGAGTGCTGTGAAAGTTGTGGAATATGACATACAGTGGGGTCATGGTAATTTGAAGTCAGAAGTCAACTGCCGGTTAATAGACTTTTTGCCGTGTGAGTATACGTTGCCCAGAGTGCACCACGTGGAGGCAAGTCTATCTCACACCCTATGTACTGACATATGATTTCATACTGGCTTATGGGCTGATAGGTAAGCCCACTTCCAGTTGCCCAGTGTCATCATATTTGATGGCTTATGAGCTAAATGATGCAATCCCAATTCTTCAATGATAATGATTTATTGTAAGGCAATTCAATTTCAGGTTTTACTTGTTTTACTAGGCCCGACATTATGAATCTAATGAGCATGCGGCCCTGATTCCGTCAGATAGTCTTCAAGAGCGACGCAAAGCCTTAATTCAAAGTGTTCCAGAAGCCGATTCCTTCAACTATCGTTTCTTCAAAGGACTTGTAAATACGCAGAAAGCCAAAAAGGTAAAGTATTTTTATTAATTATTTAATCGTTTTTAAAAGAGTACAATTTATGTGCTAACTGGAGGGCAAAATCCAATCATTTGCGTTTGCAAGATTGTCCATCGGCAGTTTCAAATAAGCCGCTATTTATTCTGACCTCCACTTGATACATGTGCAGAATAATGAGACAATCTACAATCCTTCTGACTTTAATTATAGTAATTACAAAAAAGACATAAATATTTGATTTTAAACACCGCATCTAAAAACAAAATTCAGACTTTTAGTTACCCAACCCATGGAGAAATGAACAATCAAGTTCAGATGAATTCGAGGGATCGATGATAATCGATTAATTATATGTGAACAGCACTGCATCTCCTTGTAGCGGATTGCTACCTTAGTAAAGCCTGACTGACTCAGAAATCTCTGGCTACCTTAGTAAAGCCTGACTGACTCAGAAATCTCTATGGCAGATTCTCCTACATCTAGCTAGACTCCCAGAACCAGCTAATCTATAGCCCAGCTTTAAAGGAAACAGACGTGTAGCACGGAGCACGTTTATTCACTGAGTATATTACGGATAAAGCGTGTACACGCATGGAGCTACTCATGATCAGGATGGGGGATTTGGTTAAACAAACAGATTGTACACGCATGGAGCTACTCATGATCAGGATGGGGGATTTGGTTAAACAAACAGAGGTTGATGATTGGTCACTGTACGGTCGCTGCACACAGGGTTGTACGACCGCACCTCCCAATCCTGACGAGCAGACATGTAGGCATACGATGACGCACAAAGCGATAACGTGTCCCACATCCTCACTGATGATTCAACTCTTAAATATCTTATCACTATGGCCTGCTAGGTTTTTGTTTTTTTTCAAATTTTTCCCCCTGAAAGCCTTTATTGAGCAAATCTCTATTGAACATCCCAGACGAAAGTGATATTCAGTGCCAAAGACTTCGAGGCCTACACGTCGAAAAATGTCTGTGTTTACGAGGAGGTTGCTCTTATCTCCGGTTTTCAGAGACCTGTGATTTGTCTCTTAGGCGCTTCTGGCGTTGGTAGGCAGACACTTCGTGATATGCTTATTGAAGATAATCCGGATCGATATGATTTGGCCATTCCATGTGAGCTCAATCGATTAACGAATCCCCCCCCCCTCCCCAGTATACTTGACTGCTATGCTTCACTTTATTTAATCAGATACATCAAGAGAAAGACTTCCTGGCGAAGAAGATGGGGTTGATTTTTTCTTCGAGAAGGCAAAGAAAATGCAAAATGGCTATCAACGAAATCACTTCATTGAGGTTGGTTTAAACTGCAGGATTTATTTAAGCGCCCCACGTTGCTTTTGTTTAATCTCATTTTCTCTGCCTAGTTTGGAGAGACAGGCGGTGCTTACTATGGAACGAAGTTGAAAACTTTGCGACGAATCGCAGCGTCAGGAAAGACCTGCCTCCTGGACTGTTCTCCACCGGCTGTTGCTAGGATTCGGACCGCTGAATTCATGCCTTATGTAGTGTTCATTGCTGCGCCGTCAATCAATTGCATGAAGGCTATGTACGAATATGGTCGTAGTGTGGGTTTCACAGAGGCTTGGAGAAAAGTAAGTGTACTATAGCATTCTCCCCTTTGAGGTCATTTAAGGGTCATCGTTTTTTTTAAATAGGACCAATGCTTCCAGATTCACTAACCAGGATAGCAGAAAGCATTGCAACTGCAACGTAAGACACAAACAGGACGTGTAAAGCAGAAATTAGTAATATATTTTGCTTAGAGCTATATTAGCTTTGAAACCAAAGTCTGCCATCATTTATTTATTTATTTCAAATGGCAGGCGTTTTGATAGTTATCATTAGCCCTTAAGCTGACTTCGGGCTTCACAGGGGGAAGGAACATCAAAGTAACAGAAAGTCGAGGGATGGGGAACAGAAGAGTGGTTTACGGTTGTAAAAGAGACAGACACAGAGGCAGAGAAAAGGTAGGATGATTACTGTGGAAGTGGTAGAATATGGCATCCAGTGGGGTTATGGTAGTTTGAAGTCAGAAGTCAACTGGCGGTTAATAGACTTTTTGCCGTATGAGTATACGTTGCCCAGGGTGCACCACGTGGAGGTAAGTCCATCGCACACCATCTGCCATCATTGTTGTGCTGTTGGTCACACCGTTCGCTGGGTGTGCAATAGTGGGATCCGAACGTGATGTCTCTATTTCCGCTATCAGAGAGGCTGTGAATTATAGTAACCTCCCATGCTCACCAAGGGTAGTGTTCACAGCATTTGAATGGGAAGTGGGTTGGTATTCAGGCGACAGTTTCTACAAACTCTCTCGTGTCGACCAGAATTAATCAGTGCTATTGGTTACAACTAAGACCAGGGTTTTCCGAAAGTCCGCACATCTGAATAAGCACCCGTGCATTTATTTGGTTCCAAATATGGTTCCATGGAGTGGAATTTTTTTCGCTTAACCGCCAGGGCGGTAGTTATTTACGCATATAATGTGCATATCGGCTTTAAAGAGCTGAATTACATGACTCTTGCCTCATATAATTTTGAACAAGTTGCTTAAGTTTGCCAAATTTCGTGTTTTTACTGAATTTCTCGGGGAGGGTGGGATGGGGGTGAGG